TTAATTTCAAATAATAAAAAAAAATACTCTCTTTAATTATATGAATAATGTACAAATTTACTTTTACTTAAAAGTATAAAAGAAAAATTAATTCATTATCCAATTTTTCAAGAGAAAAAATCGCAAATCGAATTGTAAATAGTTATTATACATATACTGAAAAAAATATTTATTTGTATCAAATCAATTTTAATTTCAATACTTTTTTTCATTAATTCATTAATTTCAATATCTAATTTTTTGAAGAAGAAAACTATTTTTTATAGAATAAATAATATTATAATATTTTAATATTCTGATAATTATTATTTATTATTAATTATTATTATTATTATTATTAACACTCCTATACGCTTTTATTATTTTTTTAATTTTACTGGAATTCAATGTTTAACTTCATAACAATTAATTTTGACTATTTAACTTTTACTTTGTTATAAAATACAATTAATTAGCTTCAATTTTCACTATGAGAGCTTTGTTTATATGACTGTCGAATTTAATTTCTCTAATGAAGGAAATGAAACCGAACCATAGAAGTGTTAATTATTATTTTATTTCTTTTATATTTTTTTAATTATTATAATAATCAATTATTATTTATTATACATAGTTCATGGCTTTTCAACTTTGAAAATATAATAGTTAATATAATAATATATAATTATATAATATATTATATTATATTATATATATATATATATATATATATATATATATATATATATATATATATATATATATATTATATATATATATTATATATATTATATTATATTATATATTATATTATATTATTATATAATAGTTAATTATAAAGAACAAAAAATGAAACCGAACCGTAGGAGGGTTAATTATTATTATAACCAAAATAATAAAAAAACTTTATTTATTATATTTATTTTTCAAAAATAAATTAATTAATTATTAAATTAAATTCTCAAAAAAAAAATAATAAATAAATATTTATTTGATAGTAGACAACTAATCGGTTTTTTTAATCAATTGAATTTCTCCTTCAGTGTACATAATAATATTACAGCGCTTTTGTATATTATTCATTATCTAGTTCAATTTTCAATGATGTCTTTTAAAATAAATCAAATTCCTAAGAAACATTTACTAACGTAATAAAGTAATACACAAAGCAGTATATTGTTATATGAATATTCGAAAATGCGACAATTGACTGAGTAATCGTGAAAATGTAAGTAGAAGTCATTCTAAAACTAGTCAATAAAATAGTATTGTTCGTAAATATAGTAGAGCCTATGGCACGTGCTCCTTGGGCAAAAATTCATCGAGCATTTATTGTAAAATTATTGTACGTAAACCTCACATTCACCGGGACTTTCACTGTTAACTGAGAGAAATAAAAAAAATGATGGAATTGTCGACAAACACTAGCGCACAAATATTGCGCCATTCTCTCCGTAGAACTAGCAAACTTCTCCTCTAATATATATACATATAGTCTACTCGCACGATGCAGGTAATGCAGGCAGGCAGGCAGGTGATTTCGCCTGCACGAAGAAAACTAATTTTCTTCTCCTTATGTCTATTACTTCTCGTAGACTGTTTGGTGAATCATTATTATAGTTTTTCCAAGCAAAAAGAGAAATAAAAAGAATATATACACATACAACACATTTGATAATAAACCGCAAAGACAGTCGTTAAAAAAAAAGAAAAGATAAAATAAAATGTACGTCAACATTTAAACAATGCTTTTAAACATTAATAATATTCACTGTGTCAAGAGCAAGTCACTTTTAAGCGGTTAATTAGAATTTTAAATTTAAAAAAAGGAGAGAATTCTTTTTTTTCTTCTCTTAGCACAATGTTTATTTTTAAAGTCTATTTATACGTAATAATTTTTTTTTATTCTTCATTCTAAATGCCAGCTGGAAAATTTATGTAAAAATTAACAACATCTCGAATGAACCTATAATAATTAATTAACACTTTATTAATTTCCATTTGTTTTATTTTTACTCACAATTAGTTTTATTTCCATTTTATGGTTCTTTTAATTCAAATTTTATTTGTTATTGTATATTTTTTATAATAGAATTAGTACTTTTTGTCTGAAAGTGCTCTTCCGGAGTTATTAATTTAAATAAACAAATTGTTTAATTATTATTAAAAAATATCCAGATTTATTATTAAAACAAATAAATTTATTATTTATTATAAACAATTTATCCAGAATTATTGTTCAAACTAAATAAATTTATTATTTATTATAAACAAATTATCCAGAATTATTGTTTAAACTAAATAAATGTATTATTTATTATTCGCAAACTATTCAATTATTCATAAATATAAATTAGAAAAATAAATGAATTTTTTATTTATTATTAAAAAATTATTCGGAAGTAATGTTCAAAATAAATAAATATTTTATTTATTAATCAATAATTGTTTAATATGCACCAAACTGTCTACGAGAAGTGTTATAGGTTTAATGATAAGAAATTTTTAAAAATAATAATTAATAATAAATTGTTTAACGCCGAAAGACATGAACTATGCAAAATAAATAAACAAAGTTTATATAACAATATAATAATACTAATAACAGTAACAAATAATTAATTATACGATAGCACATTTAACTTCTCTATTATCAAAATTGCTCCCTTTTTATCACTTATTATCAAATTGTAATATTAATTATTAATTATGCTAAATAATTTAATTTAAATTTCAATTTACAGGCAAAAAAATTGAAAAATTTCTAAAATTAAATGTATTATTGAATTATTGTCAATTACTAATTGATGTTGAAACAATACAATTCATACAGGCACTTTAATTATTTACAAAAAAATAACAAATATTATCTATTCAATTATTATTACTAAAAACCAATTAAAAAAAATTATTTTTAGTAAAATAATTTTTATCTTTAATAAAACAAAATAATATTTTTTTTTTTGAAAGACTACAAAGGAAAGAAATAATTTACAAGTAAATAATAAATTTAAATAATCCATTGAAAAAAAAGTTGAATTAACTGAAATAATTATTACAATTTATTATTCTTTACAAGAACTACAAAACAATGTATATGAACTTTCTAATTCACATTGTGGTGAAAAAAATTTCTAGATATAACCCATATTTACAGACAAAGTTTTGTGCGTATATAAATTAAATATTATTTTTCTCGATAAAAATTAAAAGGTGTATTTTTTTTTTGTAAAAAAAGAAAGAAAATAGCATTTTTTTAGGGCCATGACCGTGATAGGCGGTTCCTTCGAGGTCAGTTCGCTTCTCGTAAGCACGCACAGTTGCGAGATACCAGAAATCGAGGTCGGGTCTTCGCGAGATTCGCGCTTCTTATTCACTTAACGGATTTCACGAACTCACGTCCAAAATCAAACAAAATTTTTACTTTAAAAGAAAAAAAAGCCCGCCTCATCAGTGGAAACATATTTTTTTGGGGCGGAAAAATAATAAAAAATGAAACAAAAAATAACGAGAAACAAAATTAAGAAAATAAAATATCATAATGAAAGCAAAAGAAAAATTCCGCAAAAAGAAAAAAAATTCCCTTCCTTTTTTTGGTTTAAAAAGGTTATAAAAATTCAGGTCTCAATCAGTCAGCAGCTTTCTTTACAAACAGCGTGAGAAAGGTCATTCTAAGTCGTTCAATTGGTAATAACTTCAACCTCCCTTTTCCCATATAAATGCGCTCCGAAAACTCGTCGAGTGAGTTGAAAATGCCTATAACATATCTCTATCTCTCTTATATTCGACTTCCATTGCAAGTTTGTATAAAGTGTTAAATGCGAAATGTACAAAGTGCAACATGAAAGGTGCATTTCGATTCACCTGACAGGGATTATTCTGATGGTGTGTGGAGTGAAACCAGAAAAAAACGAACGGTTGGTTCGTTCGATAAGGTCAATGGACGAGGAACTTCTTCTTCGTCACCCGCATGTTCAGGTGGCAAAAGAGAGAGAGAGAGAGAAAAAGAATTCTATTGTCAAATCACAAGGAATTGAAACAAAATGTACAAATCAAGCAGAAAGGCAAAAATTAAATTTACCGCCTCTTTGAAAAATTCCTCACACATTTGTCCTTGAAATGAAAAACAATTTAAATAAATAATTAACGAGAACAACTTTTCATTAAACGAAATTTGTAACTCACAATTAATATAAGAATTAATTTCATAATTAGAATATTTAAATTTTCAAATTCTAACTTTATTAATAAACACGATATATAATAAATAAATCATTTTTGTTAATTATTTACTAGCGTAATTTAAAAAAAACAAACCATATCGTTTCTATTTAATGAACCAATATTATAAATTATAATAATTCATCATTTAGAAATAGTTGATCACCTTCAATTTGACTTATTTAAATAGACACATTTAGAAATAACACTCGTTTCATTATTCACTACTATATGGGCTTATTTATGAACAAAAAAACAAGACAAACTGCTAAAAATTTTAGAAATTGTGCGACTAACAAGACAAAAATGAAAATATTTATATGTATAGGACATTTAAAAATGATGACCACTCGCCTGAGTAATCTTTACAATTCACTGCAAAAAAAAAAATGCCAGAGAAAAACAAAATAGAAGCGGATTTATTAAATTATTCAAATATTCCTAATGACCGGGACTAGAATTTTACCGATTCGGGTCTTTGGAATTTATAAAACAACAGGAGATACGGTCGGCCGCATTACTCCCTCACGTGGTTGTCAAGCTCGTATTATTTCAAGACTAAACAAAAGCATATTTGAAAACTAAAATATCTACAATTTTTTAAAATACAATATTTTTAACAATACTATGAATATAGCGCGCAAAATTACGAAAGTTAATCAAAGAATCAAAGAATACTCCGGAAAATACCGAACTGTACACGAATGTTGGGGAGTTTAACGACAGACAAGGAACGATGATTTTTTTCAATATCAAGAATTTAAAGACTAATAAAAAATGTCAATTGTAAAGGTACTCACCGAGAATGGCCTGGAGGGTTTGCTCGTCCCCGTCACTGATGACATCCATGCCTCCGCGGATCGGACCCCAGCTTTCTTTCGGGCCTGATTAACAGGCCCCATTTTGTCTTCGTGCGACGTCTGTCGTTGCGTTCCACATCTTACACGAGAAAAACATTCTCCAAAGTTTTCTTAACCGCAATCCGAGTATTTTTTTCTTCCTTTTTTTCCACTGTCAACACTTGTATAAACACACACACGATAATTCACTTGTCAATATTGTTGCACTGATTCCTAAGAGTACTCGTACGAGTAGAACACAGTTGAAATCATGATCAAAAGTTTATTTTAAATCAAAAAGTTTACTTCTCCTTTTTTTCTTTTTGAAACAAACACAAAATTTGCTTTAGCACACGTTCCACCGACACTAAACACACACGACCTGGAACTCGCGACTCGACCGGAGAGCCGACACTTGCTGCGTCTATTCGAGAGAGGTCACGTGACCACAAGAGAGTATTTGGATGGGTCACGCGCCCCGTTTTCTTGTTGCGTGTCTTTGACGAATATTCTATATACCAGGGAATGAGGATGTCACGATGAATATTCGGTTGCCGATAAGGATTTGGGAGAAAAAAGAGGTTAAATTTTAAAACACGAGCGATAATAAGGACAGATTCCTTTTTCATCGGCCCTCTGGAGGTTACTGAAGTGAGACGAGAAACTATCGATATTCTCGAACGTTCTTATTCGACCCCACCAGGTGGCACTAGTGACTAGTTTCGATAATTCCTTTGGCGCTAAAATTCAAAACAGTAAAAATGAATTAGTAATTTTTTAAAGATCTAACTTATTAAAACAATTATTATTATTAGTTATAGTCAACTATCAACTATTAACCATAATTGTTCAATTTTTGTGCTTATTATTAATATTTTTTTTGCTTATTATTATAAGCAAACACTAATACTATTTTAAACTTTTGTAATATTCTAATGTACGAAAAATAAAGAGATTTAAAGACAAAATTTTTCAGTTCTTCTTAAATTTTAACCTTTTTAACTAATTTTAATTTCTTTAATTTAATAAAAAATAAAAATTGTAGAATATTCTAAATAATCTAAAAGATTTATTCTAGAAATCCTAAAATGAAAATTTCTTTTTATTTTTTTGTAGAAAAATTTTAATAAAAATATATTTATACGATTTTAAATATAATTAGGTATAAATCTACAATAATAATAAAAATGTGACGCGCTCTGAAAAAGGTACCCAAGAAACAACAAATTTTGGGATCTTAGGTACCTTTCTTCGGAGCACGTCACAAATAATAATAGTAATAATAATAAAAATTATAATAGAAATAATAATAATAATAATAATAATAATAATAATAATAATTGAAATTATAATATTAAATATAATTATAATATGATCATAAAGATATATACATAAATTAATATTAAAATAAGGTAACAAAAATCAATTATTGCTAAGTAAAAGACATTAAAAAATACAATAGTCTAACAACTAAAACAGGTCGGCTAACAAACTTTAAAAAATTGAAATTTTTTTGTTTGGATTTATTTTTAACCATTATATTTTTAATCAGGTAGAAATTAACTGTTTCTTTTTTTTCAGGTCAAAAAGAAAACCCACTCGAAAAAAAACCGAAATTTGTAAATCGCAAAGACAAAATAGTGAAATATACGCTATAAACATTTATTTACGTCACATAAGTACAATGAACACCGAGGGGTCGCTAAAATAATTATTATTTTTACCATATTTGTATAATTTTCTACTTCACTTTGTTTCCATTTTTTTTCTTCTTTTTATTTATTTATTTTTTTGAGTCTTGACGAGCACCCGAAAATAATTTATTCTCTTAATTATTTCATCATTTACACAAATATTCTCTCTTAATTTTTTTTTCTTTAATATATAGATAATATGAATATATTATATCGTTCTTTGTACAATATATGTACACATATGTATATCACAATCTTTCATTCGCACGCATTTAATTAGAGTTAATTGCTTGTAAGCAGCGCGAAGATAATTTACAATTTCCTTATTTTTTTTTTAAATAAACGAAAATTAAAATCAAAAAAAGAGTAATACTCTGCGCACTCGATTTAAAAAACAAATCAGGGATCAGATCGTTCATTTTCTTTTCATACATATTATATATATTTATATAATTTGTGAATGCAATAGCATTAATAAAAAAAGATGATTATTAAAAATAATACGATGCATCTCATTATAAAAGAAATAATGACAATTGCAACAAAAAATAAAATAAAAGAGAAATTAACATCTCAGCAAGAAAACATCTACAAAAGAAGAGATTCTCTACCCTTTAAATACAATCGATTATTAATTGTAAAATAAAATTAGTTAAAATATAAATTTAAATCCACATTTTTTAAAACTATTCTAAACAATTTATGTTACTAAAAAAAAAATTATGTTAACCACTAACATTTACATTATCTTCTCGATATTAATTATTTTTATTTGAATTCAATCCAATTTATTATAATAATATATAGTACTTTATTAAAATTAAACAATAGAAAAAAAACAGTATCTATAAATATATATCAAAAATTGTAATAAAGAGATTGTATTGTAGAGATGAATATTAACGCCCTTATATAAATATTGATAAAAATATTCGAAAATATTTAAGTGTGATTTCATGGCAACTTAATAAAAAATAAAACATTACAGATCAATGGACAAGAACCATCTCTCATAATCAACGATCAGATGCTGCAGACTTTTCCCATCATTCGAAATAATTTTCTTTTTCATTTTAAATGTGAGAAAAATCTTGATTTTATGAAAAGAACTCAAAATTTACATTTTGAAATGGAGAGAAGCACTTCTGATCACAGCATTTCGTTAGATTAGATAGATCTAAGTTTGAAGAAAAAGAACTTTTATTTTCACTCTCGGAAAAAAAGGAGTTCTTCTGTCAACATTTAATTAAGAATTTTTTCCCTACAAGTGACTTGCTTTCTTTAACATTCAAATTATCAACAATTTCTTTCGAATCTAGCCATTGAGTCACGATCTGTTCAAGTCGAACTAATCTATGTAAAATTTGGAACGATTAAATAATAATTACATTGTATTACATATACATGCATTCAGTCTTTGTTGCTAAATATTATATAATATATATATATATATATTTATATAAGATATTCAGAAAAAGTCATGACCGATAGCGTAAAAACACAATTAGGAACTGGATGAAAGATAAAAGCTGATGATTATCATTTATGGGTCCCAAATTCTTTACCCGATTCAAAATAAGCAATTATGTATGTATCATTTATTATTCACCGATCATTTATTTTTGTTTCTCAAACATTTTTTCCATTTTTTTATTTCAATTTTAAAATGAATTTCAATTCAAGAAAAATAAAAAATTTCAATAAATATTTTTTAAATATTAATATTGTTATAATAAATATTATTAAATACTTTTATCCAAAAAGAATAGAATTGGAAATTTTTTAATAATGGAAATTATATATGATCGACAATAATGAATGATCACAAAATATCCGAATAACATTGTTTTCTATTTTGTGAAACATTTCACTTTCCCTGACATTTTCTGTAAATAACATCCTACAAATCGATTGGAAGATATTTCTCATAAATGGAAACAAGAAAATCAACGATATTTGAAAGACTAAGAAATAATAAAATGTCTAAGATTTAAACAACTTGAAAAATATAAAACTAAAAATATTCATAGACTGCCAGTGAATTATTTCTTTCATTTGATGTTTTAGCTTCATTCAAATTTTTTTTTAATATTTAAATGAACACCATTTATATATTTGTCATCAATTATCGCATGGATAAAATATATATTTGATTCGTCTGAAGAAGCAGTGTTCGTCGAATCACAGATAATCCATTGTTTATTGAAGCTTTAAACTCTCTTGAGCTGTTTGTTTTTTGTTTTTCTTTTTTAAAGACTGATATTAATTGTCAAAGATTCGTCATGGCAGTTTAAAAATGGCAGCTTTTTTTTAATGAGCCAGTCGCTCATTAGAATTGAAAAACCAGGGGAGGGACATTTTTATCCTCTCTCTCTCTCTCGCTCTCACTCTCTGTTTATCTCTTTTCTCTCATCCTCTCTCCAACTAATAGAAAAAGTAAATTTTTTTTTGGAGATTGTTTTCCTCATGCAGAAGAGACGCACATACGTGGACGTAATAGAAAGTATATTTTAGCAAAGGCTAGATTTCTTTTATCAGTTCCAATAAAGTCCCCGTCTCAGTCGTTTGAAACAGATTTTTTGTTGTCGAGTGTTTGTTCAAAGAGGCAAAGGGCTCGATGTACAAATTCATACTGCTCTGCAGTTTGTATCATTCCACCTCTGTCGTACCTGAAATAACAAATTTTTCCAATAATTACAAATGATATTCAAATATGTAATTCAAATAATTTTAATATTGGAAATATTCAAATTATAAATAAAAAATATTAATTCGATGGCAAATCACACAGACTGGGAGTGATTAATTAATATAATAATAGTAATAACCGTTCGTCCGAAATCTAAAGGTAAACAAATAATAAATAAACATTAATAAAAAATTAAAATACTAAAAATATATAATAAAAATTAAAAAGTACAATTTTAAATTAAAAATACTGTGTAACGAAAGTAAGTAGGTTTTAATTTAAAAAATAATTCTGTTAAATGTTGACGAATAAAAAAATAAATGTGGTGCTAATACTTCCATAATTATCGAGAAATAATCGAGTCATACCTCATTTGACATAAAATGCCTAAAACATCGACATTTCCGTCTCTTATGAGCTGAGTCATTCCATTTGCTAATGCTATGAAACATCCTGTCCTTCCGATTCCTGCACTGCAGTGAACTATTATGGGTCCCGATAAATTATTTACTTCCGCAGCTAAGCTAACGAGCGTATCAGCTTCTTGTGGCACAGCATGATCTGGCCACGAGTCATACCTGCAAAAGAAGGTAAAAAAATTAGCAAGGACTTTTAAAATTCCTTGTTAAATTCCATTATCCAAAAACAGTACTTGTACATTTAAAAAAAACAAGTAAACAATGTCGAATAAAATAACTCGAAAACAAATTAAAAAGTTTTCAATTTTTCTTTTAAGATTAAAAAAATAATAAATATAATTCAATAATTAAAATAAATAATAAATGAAATAAAGTGTGTAAATACATACATACATTATTATTTTATTACATATAAATATAATAATAATAATCTTCGTATTCATTCATTCATTCTGTCCAGTTTGAAGTTAATCTTTGAGTATCTATTCTTTTTTCTTTCTTCTGAAACACTTTGCTTGACACAGTTTTTCGATTTCTTTCAATCGTAATGTTCATTCATTCATTCTGTCCGCAGTTTGAAGTTTGTCTTTCAGTACCTATGCTTTTGTTTTATTTCAAAAACACTTCACTTGACAGATTGAAATTCTATTGTTTAATTTCGATTTCAGAGATCACAGTGATTTTTTCATGTAATATTGGTAAAAAAGGGTATTTCATTTTTCAAAAAGGGGGATTCAGTTTAAAAAAAGGGGAATCAAATTATTATTTTTTTTGTTAAACTTTATCTGTTAATTATTGATATTTTTTTTATTTTTTTTCGTAGTCTGTAACCTTCTTTAAATTTTTAATCAAAATTTTTTAATACAACGCTACTTTTTTTTAAATTTTATTAAATTGACATACGAAGTCAATTTCAGAAAAAAATTAGTAAAATTAATTTGGGACTTGGAAAAATTCCATATTGAAAATTGTTATTTTCAAAATAACTTTTACTGTTTTCAAAGACAATTTTTTCATAAAAATCAGAAAACTTTACATCAAAAATAATAAAATTTACTCTGAAAATAATAATTTTTAATAGCTAATTGTAATGTTTGAGGAAAATTTGAATAACTTTGCTATTTTAAATTAGTTATTTCCAGAGTAAATTTTGTAATATCCGTAGTAAATTTTATTGATAATTAGTAAAATATACTGTAAATTTAATAAAAATTTATTCTGGAAATAATACTAATTTGTCAAAAATTCCAAACAATTTGGATTTTTCTTAAAAGTAAAAGTTATTTTATGTTTGCAACCTTTTACCTTTTTAAGTTTCAAAAAACCAAAATCTTTCCAAAGTTTGCGAGAAGTAAGAATTTATTTTTTAAGCATAACTAAAAAATTTATTAACATTACAAAAAATGACGATGTTTATAAGTTTTTCTTAAAAATAGGGGGAAAAGGGAAGAAAATATACAAGTTTAGGCGTTTTAGGGGATTTTAATAATTTAAGGGGATAAAAAAGAGGACTAATTGCGATCCCTGCGATTTTTCAATCACAATTTGTATAATTAAAAATAAAATTGAGAATTTAAAAAATTTTTATAAAATAAAGATAAAAAATTTTCATAGTGTTAATTTGTCCATCATATTTTTTTGATTACAAAATTGTTGGTTTCTTTTGAAAAAAAAAATTTCTGTAATTTCTGTTTTTCAGTCACAATTTTGAACGAAATTATAAAGAAAAATGAAATAAATGAGAATAATTTCAATAAATAGAAATAGTTTACTCACCAATAATGCAGAATGTTGCGTCGTTCACTTTGATGCCTAATTTCAAGGTCCCTAACTGTGTAACCGTCTCGGCTAACCACAGACATAACCATTATTTCATAAGATCCAGTGTTTATCCTGCTATTTTCCTCAACCGGAAAGTATGCGTCACATTTTGTCTTTGCTGCCTCGTGTAATCGCGTTATCATTACAACCACAGGAGATCTTTCCGACCAAATCATACGCCAAAAGTCATCAATTGTGTTGATTAAAGGTCCTTGTGTTGCAATGTACCTAACGTTATCTCCATCATAACCCTGAAAATTAATAAAAACAAATTCAATTTTAAAAATTGAGAAAAATTTCCTATTACGAAATTTAATATGTATTCTAATTTCTGGATGTACGGAAAAATTCAATAGTCAACCTGCATTTTAATAATATGTTAATGAATATAAAAGTACTCACGCGAATATAATTTGCGTTAATGTAACTATTCAGTGGATCATCGGAGCCAGGCAAGACAACTCGTGTCTGTGAATTTGGCAATACCGAGCGATATCTATTTTTAATTCCAGATCCGCAAACATCCACTTTCTCGGGAAGATTTAGGGGCACTTCCCAAAATTCTTTGTGCAGAGAACTTGGATCACTGATTGCTTTTTTCAATTGTACGCGGGATAAAATATTTCCAGCGCTGAGAAGAAACTCTTCAGCGGTACATTCCCGAGTCGGTGTCACCACGTGCGGTGGACTCTCGGGTGCAGGGGTCAATTCAATTGTCAAACTTGCGCTCGAGCCTCGTCTTTCGAGGAGTCCTTTCGGTCTGATGCGCATTGGCTCAGGTCTCCTTTCCGGAGTTGCGACTGCCATTATCTACAATTCAAAAAGAAGATAAAAACACATTAGAAATTAGAGACATTGGAGTTTTCTTATCTCCAAACAGAAAAAAAACACATTTTTGAATATTAAAAAGAGGAAAAAATATTCACTGATAACAAAGAACGAAAATTACCTGTCGTGAAGCTGCCAGACCCGACGTCTCGGGAACGGGCCGAATTGGCTGAACTGGTACAGGCGGCTTAAGAACTGATTGATGAACCCACTGTGCTTCGATAGGATCCTTATTATCTTTACTGGCCTTTTCTGAAGAACAAACTGCTCCCTCTTCTACCAATCCTCGCATATCACCATCTTCAGTGTCCTTTTCACGCGACATTTGCTTTCGCAGCCATAAGAGGATCTATTAAATAACAAGGAGGGAAAAAGTTATTCAAGTGCAAAGAAGTACATAAAATAGAATAATTGTAAATTAATTAATATTTACATTATTATGGAAATTAATATTTACCAGAAAAGTGAAGAGAATTGCGCCAACGGTGGCGCAGAAAACTATGAAAAGGGACAATTGCCAATCTAGCCATGATAGAGATACAGTTGAGCTAATCTCCTGATTGGTACGGGCGCGAAGCTGTGCAGCTTGCAAATCCATACCAGCATCATCCAGTCCCACCGAGGACTGTCGAATTCTGTAACAATTTATCATCAGTTAGCCTGTAACAAACAATACTTAATTTTACAAATTTCTTATTCAATTTTCCATCACTTCGATTTTATTTATATTTTTTCTACTGATTGCACGATAAATGTTTAATAAGTTTCACTTTCACTTTTTTCCAGACTGAAAAAACTTTTTCTATCAATTATTTAATGCCAATAATTCTTTCCAACAATTACACTCTCTAATCTCACGTTAGTCAAGTTCACAACTTTTAGAATCAACAATTTTGAAGAAAAAATGTTTCTCTATTTAAATTTTTATAAATTTTTCCAAAAACAGGGCATCTTTTTCTTTCAATCATTGTGAACTTCACGAACGTCTAATCTTTATCGTAAGATTGACAAATAAACTCTAAATTCTCATTAAATTAAATAAAAAATATTAATTAACAACGAAAAATAAAATATAACTATTATAAATAGATTTATTTTTAATTTGAACTAAAAATATATGTTTAAAGCAAGAAAAACGTTAATGAAGAAAAAACAGTAAAAAAAATCGTAAAAATTGCGCATATTTTACTCTAAAAAAATGTATAAAAAAAACAAAAAACAAATAGAAGGCAAAAAGTGCAATCGATGGTCGATTATTGAGCAGTTAGACAATTTTTTAACGTAGTTTGAAGCAAAAAAAAATGTTTTCACCTGTGATGAGATCGTGCAGACATGCCCTCGGCAGCCGGCAGCAAAGCGACCGGTAATACCGTATCCGTACGCCACTTTTCTTGCGGAATTAGGGAAAATCTTTCCAAAGAATCAGAGCTGGCATCATTGTTACTCGATTTGTCATAATAATAGTCATCACTTATATAGCGATGAGTCAACGGAGTACCTGTACCTCCTGTGAACAAAAAGAATAAAATCAGTAAATCTGCAATTTACAATTAAAAAAGAAATCTTACTCTCTAGCCGCAGTTCCTTAAGTACCTGATACAATTTACACTTTAATTATTTATACCTTCATTTATTTATTTAAATAAAATTTATTTATTTACACCCAAATTTTATAACTCAATTCCTAACGACCGAAAGCAAAATAACATTTTCTTTTTAAATCTCATCAATGAAACAAAAAACAAACATTCCCTGCTATTTTTCGAATTATTTGAAACTCGAGATAAAAAAGAACACCAAGTTGTTAAATTTATTACACGGATAATTTTTTTCTCTTTTACTTAATTAAAATTGATTTATTGCGAACGAGTAACAAAGAACTTTGGATACTTTTCTTTTATTCTTTTTAATAATAAAACACAGACCTTTGAATCATAACTGGCGTGCATTGGGAAATCGTGCCTAAATGATCGTGACCATTAAAACTATTTTACTAACGAGAGCTAAACGAAATAGCGTAAGCGCTATTTTTAAGACTGAACTTACTACGCCTCTGGGATTGTATACTCTATCTGTTAGCTTCCACTTATCGAAATCATTGAATTTAACGCACAACAACAATGAATTGATTCATTGATAATTTAATTCTCCAAGAAGGATTAACAAACAAAAAATCACCAACGAATATGTAAATTTTTTCTTTTCTCGAAATTTTCCAAGAAAACAATTTTAGCCAGAGAAGATTGAAAGCAAAAGAGAAAGAGAGAGAGAGAGAGATTAAAATAGTAGATTTTATCTCAAATCTAGAGCAAATAGAGAAAGACGTATTCGCTTAGCGTAGAGGAAGTAAACATTGGGCTAATTTTATGATCCGAGAATTGAGGGAGGTAGGAGGGCTTTTTTAAGACGAGAAGATGATCTACTGACGGTGTTTCCAAATGGGTAAAAACAGATGATGAGTTCAGGGAGGGACGGAAAAAAAATCATTGATGAAAATAACTTTACTGATGTAATTTATCGTCGAAAATAGCGGAAGACTTTTCAGAGGCTATTGTACCCATTCGAGGTTTCCCTTTATACTGAACCTGAGTAATAAGTTGCAAGAGGACACAACAATTTTTATCCGGACAATAACCTTTCTCCCACGTGTTGAAGGCTAACTTGTTCATCGCATGACGTACATGAGTCAACTTTTGTCCTTTTGCAGCCAACAATTTTTTTTCCCACAACCTTAATAATGCATCAGGCGTCGACTTTCTTGACTCATTAAGCTTTAAACTTCCGAAATGCTTCGAGAATTACAAGAATGTAATTACAATCACAATAAAAAATAATTACTTTTAGTGGAATCTAATTTTTAATTTAGATGACAATTTCTGTAAACAGATAATATTATTACGTTTATCTTTGTAAATTACATATTCAAAATGAAAAGAGCATGAGAATCGTCTGGTTGGGAAGAAACGAAAATAGAAAAGTCAGGGTGCTGATAAATCATGAAACTTGGCACACAACTGACAAGGGAATTTTCTCATTTCTACAAAAAGTATTAATTTCCCCCGATGCAATTTAAAGAGAACATTTTTATAAAAAAGCTAAAATGATTCTTTACTCACTTAAACAAACAAAAAAAAAACACCACACGATTTTAAATTAAAACTTTTTGTATAATAATTTTTTCTTGCCTAACCTAGGACAACAGATCTCGAGTCAGTTTCTTCGGTGCAGATCATGAAATGCGGGTATTGACGTCAAATAAACAAGATTCAGTCTCGTTGATGCACAACACGCAAAAGCCATGATTAAATTACATCCTGTTTTCTAACTATTGTGAAAGAAGGAAGCACTGAGGTTCTCGTTCGCACAAATAAATCCATATTCTCATACGCACACTGTTTTAACACGTGAGAATAAATTTTTCTCACTTTTATTATAAATCTGAGAGAGAAAGAGAGAGAGAGCAAATAACTCTGTCTTCTAGAAACAAAAGTCCAAAAAGTCACTCAAACTGTACCTTTAATTAGAAAAGCATGTATCAAAATAGCAAAAGTTGTTTGTCTCCGTGATACAAAAAATGTTACGTTTGCATCGTGTAGTTTTGTGTACGCCGTGTCCGCCATGTTTTTTTGTTATAGTACATATACAAGAGAGAGAAGGGAAAAAATAAAAACGACCTCACTACGCAAGCTTCGGATTCAAACTGTTGCTTATTTCACTGTTGACGTTCATTGTTAAATTTCAACAAGAGGGAATCATGGAAATGGAATGTCGGAACGCGGGGACCAATCAGAATACTCGGAATATTGTGAACCATCCAATCATCGTCATGGTTATAATGGCCTTTAAACCTAACCGCGAAAATTTGAAATTATTTTCAATTAGCCGTGTCATTTAAATAATCAAATGTGTTCATAATTTAATTATAAATCATTAGAATGATGAAAATAGTCAAACTAATTAAAAATAGGAATCAATATTATTATAAATAAAATATTTATTCATCAGGGTTACCACAAAAATTTAATTTTGTTTTTCCCTGATTTCGGGACAGTTTTTTCTTTAAATTTATTTTACAGATTTTTTAATTAAAAGTATGATAAAATTCAGATTTTCAAAGATTTTAATTTGAAATCCTTTCAAAATTCAATTATTTCTCAAAATTAATGTTATTAATGCTTAATTTCTTTTGGAAAATTTTAATAAAATTTTTGAAAATAATTGAATTTCGGAGAATTTTTTTATTTATTACCTTTGAAAATAATTGAATTTCTGTAAAATTTTTATTATTTATAAAAATAATTAAATGTTTGCGTAGAATTTTATAAAAAAAAATTTTAAATAATTGCATTATTTTGGAAAATTTTATTAAAATAGTAGATATTAAAAAGCATTTAATTGAGGAAAGTAACTCTTTTAAAATTCAATTAATTTAATAACATTTAAGTAAAATTATTCAATAGATAATTTCTAAGTAGATATGTAATAATTTTATGATAGTTCTTCAAGAAATAAGTTATTTAAAAAGAAATTATTGTCAGAAATAGAAAAACTTGAATACTTTTTATTAGAATTCGTGTTAATTTTATAGTTTATGAGGTAAACAAAAAAGATAACGAAATTCAGAATTTTCTTATGAATTCTAAAAATTTAATTTTTTCCAGTACTTTTAATAAAAATCCCTGACTTTTCCCTGATTTTCCTGACCAATTCTACTTTCTCCGACTTAATTTCTGACTTCCCTGACCTGTGGCAACTTTGACCATTTTCCTGATTCTTTGCGACTAATTAGAGAATAATCACGAAATCTATTTCCACTTAATATTCGTAATAAAAATTTATTTTTTAATTATAATTGAATTTTTTACATTATTTAAATTAAATAATCAAATTAGCAGGAAATTTCTAATAAAACATTAGTAAATAACCTTTTAAATGATCGATTAATTAAAAAATAATTGAATTACCGTGAAATAAAACTGCATCCACACACTGTCGCATAATTTGTCCTTTAAAGGTGCATGAACTTTAGTGACAAATGAGAGAAAAAATTTAATGAAATATGTAACGTGCGTGAAAACAAGAATCCGTTAAAACTCCTTTGACCCGATACTCATGATTTTTTTATTTTTAATTCCTTTTTCCGCACTGACCCCTATTTTTTTCCTTTCTTTCTTTCTTTCTTTTATTTTATTTTTGCAATGTCAGGAACAGGGAATATAAACGGATATGTAATTCTACGCCGTCTTTTTCAATAACATTCCGTGTATGATTCAGAAAACCGGAAACTATTCGTTCAGACGCCTCTGCCGTATGCCTGATGGTCCATTATTGAACAGCTCTCTTATATTCGTATATTAACCAAGTTCCTTTGACCCTCGTCGTCGTCTCGTATTTTTCGAGACATCTATGATATACCTAAACCACAAGTAAATGCGTAGAAATTCCTTGTGGCCTCAGGCGTGACGAAAAACCGGCTTCTTTTTTCTTTTTCTCTTTTTATTTTATTTTATTTTTTTATTTTAAACACGTGATGTCTCTGTACAATTTTAAACTACCACCAGTTCTCAATTTAGAACCCTTTTAATTAGCACCGCAAGCACATTTGAATTATGAAAAAAAATTTTTTTTTTTTCAAACTAAAATATTTCACTTTTTATTTTTTGCGAAAAAAATAATTCTTCACTGTCTTTTCTTATGAAACTGAGTTATTGTGAAAATAAATAATTTTTTCAATGATAATTATTGTATGAATATACATAAATAATTCCAATTTAAAAATAATAATTAAAATAATAAAAATAAATAAATTATTTACTTATTATTATTATAAAAATATTTATAATATATTATATAACAATAAATAATTTTTTTTTGTTTATTCGTTTAAAGACCAAAGCCTAAATAAGAGGGACGTCTATAATTACCAATTTTTTTGTTAATTGGGTGTTGTGAATTGTTGTTTAATTATTAATGAACGAATCGTCGTGAATCATTGATTGAAGGGGAAATGTCTCTTGGTTTTCAATTTGCAATTTAATCAGACACTATATATATACATATAGAATATATAATGTATAATTTATTACGCTCTATTTCATACAGATCTGGTTTCATTTTTTTAATTGATACCAAACAAAAGCTATATGAAAACTATTGACATTTATAGTTGCAAAAAAAAAAAACCAATACGATAATCTCCGTTATCACTTTATTATGACAAAAAAAGAGCAAAAAAGGCAAAAAAAAAAGTAAAAGATGAAAAAGAAAAAAAAACAATCTTTATGAGATTGTAATTTTAAAGAGCTATTGTAGTAATTGTAATAAATAATTATAATGTATAATAAAGGAAAATTTTTATTACAATGATAAAATATTTTTTAATATTAATTAATAGGATAAATTAAATATTTATATTGAAAATTAAAAAATTTAATAAATAATTAACGAGATATAACAAAGCCGAAAGGAACGGAAGATATAATGAATAAATAATAATATAAGAAATTAATAATTGACATAAATAAACAAAATAAAATAACAATGAATATTATTTAAATAATTATCTATGTAATAATAACTATGTACTTGAAACGTTCAATATATTTATTGAATTTATTATTAAAAAAATTCATCCAATAATTTAAATTTGCCAAAAATATTTTTTCAGATTTTAGTAGGGTAAACCAGAAAGTAGTCGGCCACTTTTCAATTTTGAATAGCTATAAAACCGTATGAGATAAAAATATTTTCAAAGTTGCTAATCATTTCTAAGGTGATCGTAAACAAATCTAAACTTTTGTAATAGAAAAAAAAAAATTTTGGACGGTTTTTGAAAGCTTTTTTAAGTGCCTGATTACTGTCGGTTTAGGTGGCCTATTACTGTCGGATTCTTACTTGTTTATTTACTAATTTTTTTTTACGAATAAAAAATTTTTTTTCATGAACATGATTGGTTTAATAGTTTTGTGTGATCGTAAGGAACAACATTACATAAAAGAATTCGAAAAAAATATGAATTGATCTTTTAAAACAGTGTTAATTAAAAAGATTGCTTTTAGGTGGCCGACTACTGTCGGATTCTTACATTTTTTTTGTAAATTTTTTTAACGAATAAGAAATTTTTTTTTGTAAATTAAATTAGTAAAAATGTTTACTAATTAAAATTAGTGACTGACTTTTTGCTTTTGAATTAGAAAAAAATTTTACTAATAGTAATTTCTTTTAATTTACTAATTCTACTAATTTATTAGGAAAATTTATAAATTCAAAAGCAAAAAGTCAGTCACTAATTCAAATTAGTAAACATTTTTACAAATTCAAATTTAGAGAGTAAACAAGAAAAAGATAGACTAAAATAGTAAGTAATAATTACTAATAAGGAATAGTTACTAATCAAGTATTAATTACTAATAAAAAATATATACATAAAAAATTTGGTGAAAATTCTTAAATTATTTGACAATTTTCCACTAATTTTAGATTCAGCGAGAGTAAAATACCAATAAATAAATATTCTAAATTATTGAAAAATAGAATAAGGTAAAATTAAAAAAAATTATTATTCACATTAATTTTTTATTTCATTGAACTACTTAAATATATATTAATAGTGAAAATATGCACTTCAGAAAAAAACAAAACCAGGGAATAAACATGTTAATTTTTCAACGTCGATTCACTTCATTAATAATCAGTCGAATTATTCCATCAGCATTATTCGAACAAAAACTTATATTTCAAAAATATATATATCAGAGGAAAAAATATCAAAAATAGAAGGAAAGAATTATACGTAATTCATAAAAAATAAATCGAAACAATTCAAAAATATATTTAATAAGAAAATATTAAATATTGAGGAAAAAATTCAAAAAATAAGAAATTAATATTTAATAAATGAACTAAAAACTAGAAACTAAAAATTATGTTTATGCAAAAGGAAAAAAATGAATACACCTAAAACGAGAAAGCTAATTAAACTATCACTTTCTTCTATATACTCTTATAACAATAGATTAATTAATTTTACTTTCATAATAATTATAATTAACATAATTAGCACGATTATTACATACAGAAAACGAGAAGTAACACTGAGCAGTAATTTTGAAAATCTTTTTACAAATTAATTATTTTCACAAGTATTTCACAGACGTTAATTGAAAACTAATTATGGGAAAATGGTGGGGCGAAAGAGAAAAAGAGGGGAAATTACTAAGAAAAGGGGGAGAAAAACGCGTAAAAAAGCTTTAAGCGCGAGTGTAGTCGCCAAGCAAGAAACGACTGACTACGTTTTCTACTATAACTGACTTTGATGGTTCATTCATGGCAAGAGCTTTGCAAGCTTTTTCGAGGGCTTTGCGCACACTTGTGTAAAATGCGTGACGCTGATTGGATATTTCGATCGGGCGTGGGTGGCAAATTACACGATATACAAGAGAGAGAGAGAGAGAGAGAATGAGCTTTTTGCAAAAACCTTAGCCAACGCATTGATACAAATTTTTCTTTTTTCCCCGTTTTTTTTTTAATTCAATTGGATAAAGAATCAGAGTATATTTTTCCAAATCCAGTCAATAAACATACGTAAAAATTTATCTTGTTATTGAAAGAAAAATTAATATCCACCTACATAAAATATCGATAATTACATATTTTCGGAATTTTTTCTATTTTAAAATTTTTTTTACAGATTTAAATAATTTTAATTGTAATTATTGTTATACCATAATAACAATAATAATTATTATTAAATTATTATTTATATAATAAGTTGACAATAAATTATTCAGCCCACAATTAAATATATGCATCTAAACAAATTGAATAAAAAATGTATTTCAAATTAAAAAACAAATATTTGAAAATAGATTTGAAATTTAACATTGAAAAAAAGAGTTTAAAAAAAGAATGAATTTTATTTTTAATTTGAGATAGATGAGGTTTCTCTGTAATAGTCTTTTATTTCTGGATGAATCTACGAAAATATCTAAAAGTCGCAACCAAGTCGGGAACTCCTGCGGAGTTGTATACTTAGCATATTCATCAAAACCTGATTGTCAAAAGAGTTTCTATTTTTTTTCTTTTTTTGGTAACTGTCTTTTTGTTTGTCCAACGCACTTTATCTATTTTCTCCTTTCTTTTATTCATTCATTCTTTCTTTTTTTTTTGTCAAGAACGATTGAAATATTTTGATAAAATTCTAGTTGACCATTGGATATGATTTCTATTTTTTGTTATTTTTTAGGACACAACTAAAAGCATTCCAAATATCTCGACCACTTAAAGTGGACAAAATAATAAAGATTGACGAAATGTATAGTCAGTTACAATAAAACAGAAATTAGAATAAAATCTATAAATAAAATAATAATAATAAAAAAAATAAATTATCATAATGGAAAAAATTATCATTTTATTTCAAAAAAATTGGTGGTAATATAAAATGAATTTGTAATTATTTTATAAGTAGTTAATTATTAATTGTTTAATTAGTAATTATTTTATTAGTGTATTTAATTTGTACACGGAAAAAATAAAAAAAATTTACTTTAAATAAATGGAAAATTTTTCTGTTCAATCAATAAACATATTCCATTCTTGTCTAAATAATATTTTCCTAACAAAAAAATAAGTGTTTTGCAGAGCAACGGGAAGAAAATTAGCAAAAAGGAGAACATCTCATTTTGCATTCCGTTATGTGATTGCAATTTAGTTGAAACTCTTCTCTCTTATTTGTTGCAATCGTAAATTTTTTTTCCTTTCAACGGTTATGACGTTTTCCTCTGAATTTCAAAATTACGCGAATACTTTTCATTGCGATTTCGTAATAATACTTGTATATATTTTTCCATTTTTTTAAACTCGTTTATAATAGTAAATAAATAAATAAGCGAACAAAACGTTTATCAATTACTTCTGACAGATTGTTCCTTGTTGTACAGAGTTTGTGAAATTTGATAAATAAAAATACTATTTTTTAATAATAATAATTTTTTATTACATTTTCCTAATAATTATAATTTTTAACATTTAATAATAATTTTTATTCTTTATAACAATTACACTAAAAAAATTTATTTGATTCAAATAAACGATTAGTATTCTATTATCAAAATAAATATTTATTTGTATCAAAAACAATTTTTTCGATTTACGTAAAAATTAATTGATTCAAGTAAATATTTATTTGATAATAGACCAGTAATCCGTTAATTAATTAAATCAAATACATTTTTAAGCTCATGATAATAAAAACAATAATTACTGTTGTTAAATAATATTACTCATATTGTTATAATTTACCGTAAAAAAAATTTAATTCCACGTTTAATATAAAATTCAGGAAGTAATTTTTTTTCTTCTTCAGAATAATAATATACGATAAAACAAAACTCTTATCTTACAAGTTTGACTTATCGATATTTCCCTTAAGAAGAAAAAAACACGAAAAAAAATGTAAATGTCGTGCTTTCTATCTCAATTAAATTTGTATTAAAAAAAAATTTACAGGGAGAGAAAAATATTTGATCAATTTTTTTCCCTTTCTTTTTTTCGTTAAGTAAGTGGGTTGTTAAAGATAAAAAAGCAGTAGGAGCTTGTGGAAAATTTCTGTCATTCTCGTATCTTCTTT